GGGAAAGCCCCAAGGCTTCTAGACTCAAAGGGTGCATTGCAATTGCAAGGAGTCCAGGGAGCCCTGCAGCCTATGGGAAGTACTAGTGCAAAGGAGCTAGGAGACCCGGTAGTCTGCTACAGGTGGGGCCAGCCTGGCTACATTAAAAGGAACTGCCCAGTAATGGAATCGGACTATTTTAAACTGTTAGAGTGGGACCAATCAGTGGGGGGTCTACCCCAAAGGTCATAGAATACAGTAACTCCTCACTTAAAGTCGTCCCGGTTAACGTTGTTACGTTGCTGATGAATTAGGGAACATGCTCATTTAAAGTTGTGCAATGCTCCCTTTTAACGTCGTTTGGCAGCCACCTGCTTTGTCCACTGTTTGCAGGAAGAGCAGCCGGTTGCAGCTAGCTGGTGGGGGCTTGGAACCAGGGTGGCCCGGCAGCCCCCCCATCAGCTCCCCGCTCCCCTAAGTTCCCTGTGCTGCAGCCACCCAGCAGGCTACCAATTGCAGCTGTCCCTCCCCCCACTGCCATGTGCTGCTCCTGCCCTCTGCCTTGGAGCTGCTCCCCAAGCCCACTGCTTGTTGGGCGGGGAGGGGAAGGGAGGAGGGCTAATGTCAGGGTGTCCCCTTCCCCCCTGCTCCTACACCCCGCTTACCCCTTCTCCATATAGAGCAGGGAGGGGACACAGACAGAGAGAGCCTGGGGCAGCAGCTGCTGTCTCAACTTCCTGATCAAAGACAATGCAGTTAAGAGTGGGTCAGCTTCCTTAAAGGGGCAGTGTGCGTTTCTCTCTCTCTCCCACACACAAGGTGTGTGGCTGTCTCCCCTCCCTCCATTCCTGCTGCCTTGTAGAGTGAGAGGCTACATTAACAACAATGTGTTAACCCTTGATGGCTCAGCCGAGTGCTAGTTCATCATTTAGCACAGGGGTTCTCAAACGGGGGGTTGAGACCCCTCAGGGGATCAGGAGGTTATTACATGGGGGGTCGTGAGCTGTCAGCCTCCACCCAAAACCCTGCTTTGCCTCCAGAATTTATAATGGTGTTAAATATATAAAAAAGTATTTTTAATTTATATAGGGGAGTCACATTCAGAGGCTTGCTATGTGAAAGGGGTCACCAGTACAAAAGTTAGAACCACTGATTTAGCAGCAAGACATTCTCTGGGAAATATCCCACCCTTTTCCACCCTCTAACTTCACCACCTCAACCAAGCTTCACAATCATCATAGCTGTGAACAGTATTAAATTGTTTGTTTAAAACGTATACTGTGTGTGTGTCTATATAATATATAATTTTTTGTCTGAAAAAAATTTCCTTGGAACCTAATCCCCCCGCCCCATTTATATTAATTCTTATGGGGAAATTGGATTCGCTTAACATCGTTTCGCTTAGTCGCATTTTTCAGGAACAGAACTACAACGTTAAGTGAGGAATTACTGTATCAGGGTTGGAAGGGACGTCAGGAGGTCATCTAGTCCATCTAGCTCAAAGCAGGACCAATCCCCAACTAAATCAAATCAGCGTGGCCCCACCATGGGTAGTGACAGTCAAGCTGAGGTAGTTAAGGGTCTGGTAGACTCAAGGTGTAGGTACACCTTGGTTTGGGAGGACCAGGTGAAGGCAACTAGCCTGGACTGACACCTCCCAGTATGTGTCTCCTATGTACATGGGGAGACCCAAGTCTATCCCACAGCAGAATTTGAGCTGGAGGTACAGGGCCGGCGAGCTAGATTCCAGGTCAGCGTGGTCAAGGTCCTGGTGTGGCCCGTAATCTTGGGGAGAGACTGGGTGGGTTACTCAGCCCTCATGTGGGAAAGACCTGACAGTGATCCAGGACTCAGAGGGTCTAGGCCCAGATGGGGAAAAAAAGCAGAGGGGCTGGGAGCCAGGGTAAGGAGACCCCCAGAGGTGAGACCATGATGCCCAAGATGTGAGGGACCTGCTGAGGAAGTGCCAACAAGACTTGGACGAGTCCAACATATCCCCAGGGAAAGTCATTGGCCAGCTGGTCTGAGTAGAGCAAGAGTTGGCCTGGGTACAGGTGGAAGCCAAAGGGCAGAGGGAACAATGCTTGGCTTTGCTGGAAGCATTGGCCCATTCCCCGAGGGAGAAGACTCCAAGAGCACAGCAGGAGACCGCAGAGAGCTGGGCCTAGCAGGGTCCTATGGGAACCCAGACGGAGCTCCATGTGCAGCAGGGTACTGTGGGAACT